TACTTCATCATCCTGATAGAATTTCTTAGTGATGTAACCGGCAGACGATGAAAATATCTATTTTTTTATAACAATGAACTAAGCGGTTCACTTAATATACACGTTATCGTACTTTTCACAGATTTCAGCGTTTCTCTGTTTTGATGAGTCAATCAAGATAAAATTAGTTTAATGAGTCAAATTTATCTATATTGATTTACATACCAACATCCCGTCAAATAAAGTTTATTGAACCAACAGAGAAGCTTTTAGATACTGTAGTTGTAGTTTTGGGAAAACATGAATCAACAAATTATTAATATTTTATAAAGTTTATTTATATTTTGATATTCATTTCATTATTCCAGCAAAACATGTGGTCTCAACTTCCAATTTGTTTCATTTTTTTAACAATATAATTGTTTTTCAAAGTCTTGATTAACAATAGAACTAGAATCTTTTCAAAATTATTGACTGTTCAGGGCACATTGCATTTTTGTCAACTCTTATATTAGTGTACAAACTCTTATATAAGTGTGCATGCACCAAATATTATATATGCAACGTTCGAGTCATGAAATATTTGTGACGTAATTTCCGTTACAACGTTTTCGCCTAGTTATAAGCTATTTGTAAACATGGTAGCCTACACATGATACCATGTCCTATCATGCCTGGATCTTTCATTTACCACAATATTAAGCAGATTGTCTTGATCAAATACCAAACTAGTTTCAATATAAATTTGTTTGAATTTTATCAATAGTTCATTCCAAGCAGTGACAATGTTTTAAAAATCTTGTACAAAGTAAACATGAGTTGATATGGAACATTGTTAATGAGTACAAAATGGCAAATATTTGAGCCGCGCCATGACAAGACCAACATAATGTGTTTGCGACCAGCATGGATCCAGACCAGCCTGCGCATCCGCGCAGTCTGATCAGGATCCATGCTGTTCGCTTACAGACCCTATAACAAGTAGAGAAACTGATAGCGAACAGCATGGATCCTGATCAGACTGCGCGGATGCGCAGGCTGGTCTGGATCCATGCTGGTCGCAAACGCACTATGTTGGTTTTGTCGTGACGCGGCTAATTTCATGAAATATAACTTGTCGTACAAAATACCAACGAAAACGTATAAAACAACCAATGGCAAACAATTTATCACCTAGGGACAATACTTAAATATATCAAAACTAACAAACAAACAAAGTATCACTATTATGTACATGTATAATACTTATTACGTATCAAAAACGTATAGTAACAAAAATGTACAAAAATATGAGTCTATGAGTCTATATGAATGATTATTGTTTATAAACAATACAACCAACATGATATAAATCTATTTCACAATTTCAAAACAACGAATTGAGTGAAAATACCACATCAAAATTTCAAAAAAAAAAAAAAAAAAAAAAAAGGACGAAAATATATATCTGCAAAAATTCTTATATTTTATCGTTAATGAAAGATTAAGAATTCTATATCCTGGTTGAATAAAAACTAATCATGGATTGCTTTTTTCTTAACATTTCGCGACATTTTCAAGTTGTGTCGTTTTTTTAAAAATTTAAAAGAATCTCCGGATGGTACAACAATGATATTGTATATGTAATTAACAATTCAAATGTTCGTGAATCGACAAAATTAACATTTATTTAAATCCTCTTGTTTCAACATTGACACTCCTTTGAAACTGCGAAGTTAGATTTTCATGATTTTATTGAAGTTAACATGTATTACTATAGGCTAACTAAATTATTGTTGTTTAATTAAGATGTATGTAACGTTTGTTTGCAAAATATCATAACATTGGGATACGTGAAATAATATGTTCAGGTGCTGAAAAAATGTCTGAAATGACTTTGAACATATACCTCTTTATCTAGAAAAAAAAAATCATCTAAATTTCATATAATTTCATATAATAAATACATTCTCATAAATTTCTAATCAAAATATTATAAAAAGTGGGGGGAAAAGCCTGACTTCAGTCTCAAATACGCGTACCATTTGTTCAATAAAAACGTGTCTGTTTTTGTATATATTGTACTTCTCACTGTTCCCAATAACTAAAACATTATTAATATATACAAATCAATTAGCAATTAGTTTAATTAAACTGGACAGAAATTAAGTTATTTGTACACAGTACAAATTCTGCAAGATATAATGTACAAACAAAATAAGTTTTCATTGTGAATAAAAACACATAAAATAACCTGATATTATTCATTATATCAATTGTGAAATAAAGTCCACAAATTGCTCCGATATATGGTCTAAAATAACCGTTGTTGACATATGTATGTAGATAAAATATATTGCTAAATATAAAAGCCAAAAATCTTCTAAAAGTCAACAATGCGTCTTGCCTGTGATGTTTTTAGAGGCATTTGTAATAAAATATGTTTACTTGTTTGTTCTGTTGTTTATTAAGTGGTAAGAATGTAAGTTTCGTCTTTCGTAATCAATATCGTCTACGTTGACTATTGTGAAACATCGATATAATTGAGCCGTGTCACGACAAAACCAACATAGTGCGTTTGCGACCAGCATGGATCCAGACCAGTCTGCGCATCCACGCAGTCTTATCAGGATCCATTCTGTTCGTCTACCAACCCTATTACAAGTACAGAAGCTGATAGCGAACAGCATGGATCCTGATCAGACAGCGCGGATGCGCAGGTTGGTCTGGATCCATGCTGGTCGCAAACGCACTATGTTGGTTTTGTCGTGACACGGTTAATATAACCTGAAGTGTCCAATCACTTGGAATGTATGTGTTACGCAGATCAATTCAGTTTCCCATGCCGTAAAGCGGTATTTTAATTGGTGTCAATACATTTTACACAAACGATGTAAATTAATGATCAAAAACGCTACATCTAACAAAATTATCAACAAATTTAAACTCAACAAAATTGCATGATTAAATGATGACCTTTAAGTACCGGAAGTAGGACTTCATTCTGAACTCGAAAAATATCGTGCATAAATTGAGACGCATCGTGTATTCCCGCGCAATTTGTCAATGGCGTTATAATGAATCTGGCAGTAGCTATATGTTGTGTGCGTAGTTATCGCGTTAGCAAACAAAGTGATCCTTATCTGGGGAAAAAAGCTTTTTATAAAAGAGCCCTTCATGTGATCTTGATTACATTTAAATTAGCACGTAAAACAATCCCGGCTCTAATTTTACTATCTTTATGCAAAAATTATATCAATCATATTACGGATGAAAGAAGTGACATTAAAATATACAACGGTTACAGACTAATTAATAGCCAATAAAACAACTCGTAACAATAACTTAATTGTCCGTGAGATTGAAACATATACAATATAATTGATTGTCTCTGAATAGCTAGAAAAACATGATACCAATACGTAGGGAATGACAAAAACTGGATGGAAATACAATACATCAAAATGTTTAAAACAAGATTATTGATAACTCTAATAAGGGTTTAAGAAAAAGGTGTAAAGAATACAGCTTTTACTTTTGTCAAAATATGGTTCAAGAATAAATTGTAGAAAGAATAAACTATTTCTAGAGTTAGTAAATGAAATAAAGAACAAGCGGAATATTTGCTTGAAAGTTTTTACCAACAAAATGTGTACCAAAACTTTCTTCTTGATAGACACAAAAGTACATTTTGAGAATAAGAATAACAAACAAATGAGACCCCCAAAAAGGCATAACATACACATCAACTTATATATAAACATAGTGATATTTTACCAGGATGAATTAAACGTTAAAGTACAAGAGATGTACATCATGGTAATGTATCTCTGGCTCCCAGCATGAACTTACTTCTATATAAATAATTGATGGTATTTTCCTATGGAATTGACGAGGAGAAATTATCAAGGGGTAATTACGTAATTTCCTTAATTAGCTTTACTTTACTACAGAGTTTAATAGATGGTAAACTTGCAACATTTTATAACTAGATTTCACCTCTTATGTCTAATTGAACCAATATTTTCTTAGAATTATTAGAATCAAGTTGTTTTTCTCTTGGAATGATAGATGATTCATTTGAAAAAAAAATGAGAAAAAAGAAGTCAATTTTAGAATAGAAATAAAGCACTTTTCTAGGGAATTAATTACTCTTTTTACATCTTTTATAAACATTGAGATATTAAAAAATTATAAAAAACAAAAATGTACAATTGTTCATATAAATCTATACCAGTTAGATTTTTTAAAATTATTATAATCAAGTCTCTTAAAATCTCTATAATATGATATTGAAAACATTTCTTTTTTCCTTTTAATTCTAAAGAAAAATCAATTAAGAGAAATTCACCGCATCATCATTAGATTTAATACAAATATAAACATATGCATACGAATTAAAATACCAAAATAATCTTAGGTTCAGATATGTCTACCTTATGAATCTAACTACAATTTTGTTGTACAAAAACAAAATATATATTTTATATGATATATTATTATATACATAGGGAAAAATAAAGTAAATAACAGTGCTACTAGTAATATTTTGAACTGATATATTTTTTTTAAAAGAATAATCATCATATACAAAATTATTAATGACAAAGATATTAAAACGTCTTTTGCATGAAATTGAAAAAAATCCCAGATCTGATAAGAAAATGTTTAGTTAATTCATCGTCGTAATTGAAAAACTATAGAATAGTCTCATAAAATATATAGACAAATATTTTCATTTGCAAACACTGTGTGTGTTCATTGCTTTTCCGGGAAATATATTGATTATTTATTATTTTTAAGCCAAATAAAGGAGACTTATATTAAGTTTCCAACTGAAGCCGATTTTCTCTGGGAATTAATTATAGCATCCGCGCAGTCTGATCAGGATCCATGCTGTTCGCTATCAGTTTCTCTACTTAAAATAGGGTTGGTAAGCGAACAGCATGGATCCTGATCAGACTGCGCGGATGCGCAGGCTGGTCTGGATCCATGCTTGTCGCAAACCCATTATGTTGGTTTTGTCATGACACGGCTCATATATATAACTGTTGCAGATACAAAAACATTGATAAGAAAAATGTGTTGAAATTATGTATATATCTTCAATAAAACTAAAGAAATATATGTGAACATACTTGTAGAAAACACAACGACAAAACCACAACATTAAAATTAATAAATAATTTTCAGAAACAAGTTTCCATAAAAATTCAAACAAATTGACACAAATAAAATTTATAGTCTTGAACACAGAGTACATACTAGCTCTGGTAAAAATTGCAAAACATACAATTTGAAAAAAAAACACAACACAACACATTTCCCAATTTTTTCAAGTTCTAGCGTTGTCATGGTATTCGGGCTCCTCGGCTACAATCATTGAGGTCAATGTCGTCGCTGTGGTCACGTGATGAAGTTTAGTGATAATTATATCGGAGTCTTCGCTCCCCTGACGTGATATGCTCGGCGAATCTCGGATAGTCGTACACAAACTCGGTCTACGTGATTGACTTATGTTCCCATTGCAAGTATTTTCCCGTTTTGTTTGTATGCCTAAGATTCCTTTTAGTTCAACTCTTTGAATCTTAGATCTGAACACATAAACAAGTGGATTCAAAGCACAACTAGACATTGCCAACAAAATAGATATAGTTTTAATTACAGGGTTTATCTTCCCGGGCTCATCAATAAGGCATTCTAGGATGATGATGATGAAATAGAGGAGCCAACAAATGATGAACGTGAACACAACCATACAGCTCGTCACCGCTGCTTTCCACTCATCCCTCCGCCAGAGAACCGAGCTCGAGCGGCTAGAAACGCTCAGACGGTGTACTAATATTGGTACCGCGCTCATTCGGCGATTATTTCGTAACGGTGTCTGAGAAAGTTGGTCTTCTAAAGCATTTGGTGGCATGCTATTTTTACGAACCTTTTCGCTGTTGGTCTTGGCAGCGTTGAAAATCACACAATACGCCCATACAATTATAAACAAAGGTAGAATGAAACATAAAGTCACTATGAAAATTGTAAATGTCATATCATTTGAGTCTTTACTTGTAGATACAGCGGTGCATGCCAGCTTTGTTCTCTGAAATTCGTATCTGTTCCACCCAAACAATGGGGGAATGGAACAGCAAACTGCTAAAATCCAGACAGAAGCAATCATAAGCGTACACCGTCTGCTGGTCATGTGCATGGAATAATGCAATGGTTTTATAACGGCACAGTAGCGGTCTATGGCAATAATAACAAGAGTTAACGTACTTGCAGCAAAAATAGCGTTCATCAAAAATCCTGTCGTTTGGCACCAAAACATGCCAAACTGCCAGTTCTGTGTAACGAGTGCCGCAAACACAAATGGCATCACAAACATCGTTTCCATTACATTGCAAACAGACAAATTTACAATAAATCTGTTCGAAATAGTCACTAATGCAGGCTTTTTGTAAAATATCAGAAACACAAACACGTTTCCCGCGAAACTAACGCAAAATATCACAATAAGAGTGATTGCCATAACAACAACGTTTGTCGTCTGCAACTTTTCGTCAGCCAAATCAAAACTTTCAAGTTTTTCCTCCGTTGTAGATTCATTTTCAAAATTTCCAGTCAAATTCATTTCTTGAAATACCTTCAAGATTTTTCTGAGAATTTCACGTTGCATTGAAAACTTGTATAAACCTAGTATATTCCACGGGAACAGTTCTATCCAAATTGCACGTTCAATTTGTCTGAACAAAACATCTTCTTGGCGAAATAAGAAATGAAATGAAATTACAAAATATATCCTGGAAATCAATCTAAATTATTCATCCCCTGAGAAATCCGAACTCTAGGAAAATAAGCGTCCTTTCCAATAAAACCGTAGCAGAAAAAAACTAATAAATCACAATGTAAGGCTACAAGCTCTACAAGAGTCTGACACTACGCTGGATTAGTTCCTTTATTTGTCACCAAAAGCGTCTTATACATAAGCTTCTACGATGCCAATATGTAGCAAAAGCCTGCACACCATTTGCCAATATGTGAATGTCTCTACGCTATGTTGTCCTTATATATATAGCCAAACGCCTCGGAGAAAATCACTTCTATTGCGACCTCTTCTACCAATAATTCCAATATTCCTTCCAAAGAATGCCATGCTCTGATCATTGTCTCGCGATGCTAAAAATAGATTTCAAAGATGCATTTATAGCAATTGATTGTTGGAAACGATTTCTAACTTTAGTGTTATGTAAACAAAGCTCACAACGTTTATTCAATTGACAGCTCGAAACAGGAAATCAAATTATGCGATCAGTAAACTGTTATAGGCATAAAGCTAAGCGTGATGTGGAACATCGTAAAACAATTTTCATAACTATAAGTATAATGTTATAACATTTCATTCATTTCTAGGTAAAATTCCTGAGTAGTTTGAGGTAACCTGCCAAGGTCATACTACTTAAAGTGGATTGGTTGACAGTTGGCACATTTTCTACAAGTTTTTCCAATGTTGATGAAATAATAGAAGTATATCATTTATCTGAAAACTATTTTTTTTATTTTGCTTGCATTCTTGTAGATTTCATATCATACTTATTGAAATGGTTCACTGAATTAAAAACAGTCCCTTTAATTACTAGGAAAAGAGAAAATAATAGATATCCTTAAATTGCTTTTTTGAATCCTTCAAAACAAACATGAATAGATATATAAATTTAAGCATTGAATTATTGAAATTAATTACAGAAAGAATAAAATCTATGTTTCTGCAATATAAATCGTCACCTTAGTGCAGTAACGGGTTAACTCCTATTAAGTTATGTAAGGACTTAATTCAAGTTAGTTTAAACATATATATTTCCCGAATATATACATTTACATATATACATATACAATACAAATAAAACATATTTTTATTCAAGATTGATGATATATAATATAAACGGCTGTCCTTGCAATTGAATTACCAATATGCGTTTTAGACTATATTGTAAACTGCAGTGTATAAGTTATCTTAGATAAATTTGTCAAGAATGTTTGACACATCGTTCTCCTAGATTATCCTTGAAACAGTTTTGTGAATGAAATATGTCATAAATACAAGACCAAGAATCGATTCAAGGAATAACAACTTAGACGTTAAAGTATTGAGAAGTAATTCCTCAAGCATGTTTAGTTTGCCTGATTAAAAAAAGCAATTTAAAAAACTCAATTACCTTCTGTAGTTCGTAGTAATTTTACTGTTTAAATAAGGGCCAGTTTATAATTTTTGAACAATTTACAATACATTTGATACGAAATCTATACAAAATGTAAGTAATAAATATATGGAAAATATTGGAAAAAGAAACATAATTGTTTAACCTCACCTAAGTATTAACGGACTTGACGTTTGGACGGAATCGGCAATGGTTTTATCTTTTTCCTAATTAGCAAATGTGAACTTTTAATTTTTTTCGTGATTTAATGATATCAATTGATAAATAAGTACAGATTTGAGGTGAAACATCTTGGCTATGTCCTTAGTTAAACGTAATCAAAGAAGTTTACGTTCAGCACGAAACGGTCAAAAGAAATAAATCTTTTGTCTTCTATATTTGCTAATTTGTCACTATTGTCAATTTATGTATCTGTGATAGATAGTTTAACGCCATTTTTCTGAAACCCCGGGAGCAATGTGTTGCCAAATTAATGTAGGCAAATAAACGACAAGAACCAATGGCAGAATGGTGTGAAGATAACTATAATTAGGCCTGAATAAGATATAATTACGTTATTGATACATTATATTGAACTTTCTTTCACCTCATGCATTGGCTTCTTTTTGACAGAGAGATTGGCCATAATACTTTATACCGTGCCAATATGTCGGAGGTACTTAAATTTTTAATCAAGGACAATTGCAATTACGCTTGACCTTATAAGGATTATAAATATTAAATACACAAAATTCTTTTCATTTTATACTAATAGCACTTTGCAGCTTTAAATACTAAATTGTATTGCATAAGAATAAAACGATTAGGTCATAAGGCATTGGCTTGTTTTAATACACTTGTACCCATCATTTAACCCATAGTCTAATGGCAACATCAAGATCTAACCATTCAACCGGTGCATACCAAGAACGGCAGACACATCATTGTCTGCGCTGTCCACTTTAAGGGAATACTTATTATAGATTTTCCCTACCTACAATATTGAATGGTTTCGCCGAGAATGAAGGATGAACAAGTCCATTTAAGACAATTTACGTGTTAAAGATATTGGTGTATTGTTTGGTATCAGTAGCGAAAAAGTGACAAAATTGCCCTAAAGAAAGTTCTACATAAGTTTTAAATATTTTTACATATATTGCTAAAATGCTAAATTTTGCTTATGCTTGTACTAGGGGGAATGGACGGTAGCTTGCAATTTCCAGTGCAGTTCATGAGCAAAATCATTCAAACTTAACAAATATCCGAACAAATGAAACGGTTGATAATGACTAGATGATTATACATGTAATATATAACACATATTTCTTGTATCACACCATTGGTACATTAACAAATTTAAAGAGAAACAGATACAGAGTAAATGTTTACATATACAGTATGATCAATGAGTCACATGACATTGTTTTCCATTAAGAGAATGTTTTTGTTAAAACAATTAATGTAAAATGTAACACGTGTTGAATACAAAACAAACCTTTGAGGGAAAAACTACAAATCGATCAAATTAGCCATTACAGGCATGGTTTGGAAAGATAACAAACATGTCTGAAAAGCAGGCCTATCATTATATATACATGTATATTTAATGTTTGTTTTGACCATGATCTCCGGTCAAATGTAACCTGGGGTATATTAATAATGAAGCTAATGTAATTAAGGCTTGTTTTTGCCATGTTTTCTTCTCCTTGCCCTTCGCTTATGTTTACAGTCACTCCATACATAATGATGTCAAATGATGTCATTCATGCATAATGCTGCCCAAAAAAATACTCTGCAATAATTGTTCCGGAGAAGTGCTTTCAGGCATAAAGTATGTTCTCTTTTACATATGAAGTGAGCTTGCATATGAAATAGGCATTTGTATGCTTAATCATAACATAATTTTGTCAATGACATGTTTTTAATTGTGTTGATATAATTGAAAAAAAAAGTTTTTGAATTGAAAAAAGTAACTTGGAAACATTTTCAAATTTGCCCTTTTTGGTGTGTTTTTTTTAGGAATTCTGATTTTTTTTAAAGAAGCAAAGTAAAGATAGAAAAGTATGCAGAATATATTGTACAGCACGGACGTTTAATTGAACCCCCATCACGCTATATATCTTAACTGTACTTGTCCATCTTTCAATAAAATAAATACCTATTATCATTTTTTATGGAAAATCAATAAGAATATATGACTTAATATTGAACAATGCACACCTTTATCAAACTGCAGGGATGTGTTGACTAGTGTATGTCTGCACCGGTCTCAAAAGTACGTGTTTTCAGCTACCATCAGCAGTTTAACGGTTAACAAATAGATTAAATAGTTCAACACAAACGGTAATATTTAGAATAAAATTCATTGATTACAAAGCAAATAGAAATTGATGAAGTTACCTGCATTTTCGTCTTTGCGGGAAAGCATGTAAACCATTGTATTTAATCCATTGTTTTAGTCGCGACATTGATTGCCAGTTTCAAGCATTCATATTGATATTTGTTACGTTGAAATGTCATTCCAATTGAGTAACGAATTAGGCAGATTAGTATTGATCTACTTGTATTTAGAAATGCTCAAATATTAACAAATCGCTTTTAACAAATCCGTACCTTGTGTTTACAGTCTTCTTACGTTTGATATATTCATTGTTTGGCTTTTGAATCTAAATAGAAATTAGATGAAATTACGGAAGTTAAGAATAGTATAGCTATATAAAACCATTGCATGATGAGGTCACAGAATTTTTTTATCGGCTGAGAAAATATAGGGTTACGTTGTACCTCTGAATAAGGAACTGCATAAGTATCCTAAATGGAAAGCTATTATGTACTGCTATACAAATTCATTTTCACAGCTGTATCACCCCTAGGATATGTTGCCTGCTTTTTAAATTTGTCTTTTGACGTCTTATCTGTGATACGCAGACTTCATAACCTCTGATTCCCTTTCAAAATTCCATTTTATTTAGTTCCGCCCATTGTTTTCTCGTTTAGGGCACACGCTTTTTATTACTTGGGAACCATACGCCGCTTTTCATGGAATGGCACGGAAGTGTCACATTGAAGGTTCCATGATAACCGCCGTATGAACACATCTGCGGATGTTTCTAAATTAAAATTTTACTATTTCATGTTTAAATGTTGAATTCTGCTTAAGCCGGTGCTAGGGGGCGTGGACGGTAACTTGCACTTTCCAGTACCGTCCATGAACAGGCTCAATCAAACCGAGCTTGCAACATTTTCAATTTTGCCGTGTTAGGCTTTCTTTAGGGATTCTGTATTTATCTATTTTTTGAAGCACATACAACAATAAACGGTACATTCTACGAAAGCCGGGTAGGGACATTTCAACTTCATGAATTCCCGATTTCATCTTTATGAATTCCCGATTTCAACTTCACGAATTCACGATTTCATCTTCATGAATTCACGATTTCAACTTTATGAATTCACGATTTCAACTTCACGAATTCAGCTTCATGAATTCACGATTTCAACTTCACGATTTCAACTTCACGAATTCACGATTTCAACTTCACGAATTCACGATTTCAACTTCATGAATTCACGATTTCAACTTCACTAATTCACTATTTAAACTTCATGAAATTGAGTTGAAATCGTGAATTCATGAAGATGGAATCGTGAATTCATGAAGTTGAAATGGCCCTACCGGTCTTTCGTAACATTCGACCGAGTTTTAATAACGAGATAGCCGGTAATTTAGAGTTCTTTATAAAAATATTACTTTCTGTACCTCAATTGGGAATAAAAAATGAGTTCCTAATAAGCGATAATTCATTATAACCGTATTTGCTATAACCGTTTTTTATATTAAATAAAAGAGAGCAAATTTCGGGCCCAAAAATGTTCCTTATAACCGGGAAATCGCTAAAACCATGTCCGTTATAAGTCAAATTTACTGTAAATAGAATCATTTATTTTTCCAACATAGTCACTTTAAAGGAACAAATGATAATAAATGCAACATATATGTTTAACTTATT